GGCTGAGCGGGCCGCGTTTGTGTCTGTGGGGCTGTTAGCGAGGGTCGTGAGTGGGGGCTGAGGCCTCGGTCGAGCCGGCTGGGCGGGTGGCGGAGTGGGGCGGCGGGGCTGAAGGTCAGACAGGCCGTGGGCCGGCCTGCGCCCAGCTCCGTCGCTGGGAGCTCCAGCCGGGGCGAGGGGCTCCCCGGGGCTTTTCACTCCAGGCCTCTCCGAGAGTGGCCGGTTAGGTAGGACCTCCGGTATGGCCGGAGAGAGAGGAGGAGCGGTCTGTGAGGGGATCCTTTATCGCTGGGGAAGATTTAGCTCCTTGTGGCTAGGTGGTGCCTTTGGCAAGTGGGGCTCGGCTTATCCCGGCGGTGTGGAAGGGACAGAAGGTTTGTTCTTCTGCAAAAAAGTCTTGTTGAGCCAGTGGACAGCTGTAATATGTGTTAGGTCTCTGCTGGAAATGCTCTTTAATAAGATGGTGAATGACTTCTGAGTCACAGTATGTGAGTTAATTTTAGATGTGCTCTAGTAACTCATAAATAAGTAGGCTTAGAGGTCAAAAGTAGGTGTCTTGGTAAATTTGTGGTGAGGGAAGAAAGGAGTTTTTCCTAGACTCATTCACTGAATAGTCTGTGGCAAAGCAAGGGGAATTATGTCATTGGTATCCCAACAGCTGAAAGCAGCAGTGTTTCTGTTACTCAGTTTTTACTTTGACATATATGGGATTTTTTTTTTTAATGTGAAGAGTAATAAATAAATGTATTTTACAAGTATAAGTAACTTCCAAGAAGGTGAAAGGGATTTCAGATTCCAAATCAATAGTGTTACCATTTCTGTTGGCAGCCACTGAAGGGAAGGCTCTTACGATGTTCACCTCTTCAATTGGAAGGTCTGCTTCTGGTTATTACTCTGCAGTTTGGGGGCTTACATACATGTCATCTTTGTATGCAGCAGTCAGTGTACATAGGTTGGTGCTCTGAGAGGTGACTCTTCAGGAGTTGAACTGCCTACACCTGATAAATAATCTCCAAAGTTGTGTTCTGTGTATGTGGATGCTATGACTGTTCTTTTAACTGCTATACAGTGGTCCTACAGACCATACAGTATCAGTAGAGATTTCTACTACACAACAGCAAAGAGAGGAGAAATACAGTACTACTTATTGAACTTCCAGAGACCTTGTGTAAGTCATTGCATAGGTTTGAACAATGATGTAAAAAACAGAGAAATTAAAAGGGAATCACTCTTTTTACTCTGGGGCTTGAAGTTGATCGTCGTATTTCTACTTTAAAATTGGTTGCTTTTTCAATATTTAATGGAACATGTGATCAACTAATTCAGGAAATCAATTCTCTTACGCTTTCTCCTCTAGAAGAGACTTTATTCACTTAAAGTAGCTCCTAAAGTTGCAACCTCAGCAACTGCAGAACGAGTGAAATTATCTCCAGAGTCTGAGGATCTTGAGGTTGGTATGAATACTGTTTTTTTTTTTTTTCATTTTTTAAAAAATTATTCTTTAAAACTCAGTCAAAGCAGAATTGTGACAGTACTTCCAGTGGATGACTAAACCAATGTTTTGCTTTTTAATACAGATCACAAAATTACCAAATGGCTTAGTTATTGCATCTCTGGAAAACTTTTCTCCAGCTTCAAGAATTGGTGTGTTTATTAAAGCAGGCAGCAGATATGAAACTTCTAGTAACTTGGGAACTGCTCACTTGCTTCGTCTTGCATCTAATTTGGTAGGTGTTTATTCTCTTTGTTATTATACTGGCAGTAGATGAAATGGTGGGAGGTTTATGATTATGAAAAGAAACAATATGGCAGAAATTAACATAAGAGAGCCTATCAAGTTCCAAAGAATGTACATTGATTCTTGGTTACCAGATTCAAGTGTAGGAGAAATATTATTACTTCCTGGAAGACAGGCAGTGACATTTATTTAGAATTATGTTCTCCAGTGGTGTCTTAAACTATATATGTGTGTGTGTGTGTGTGTGTATATGTATATATGTATATATATATATATAAAAAAATATATATATCAAGCTATGCACATAACTCATTTTATTTAAGCTGCAGTAAAAGTTAATTTGGGTGGCTGATACAAACTCAATTTTCTGTGTGTGTGAAATATTTCTGAATAGGTTTTTTTACTACTACCATTAAGATATTTCAAGCACATTGTTTTCCCTTCCTGTTTTATGTCTAGCTTCAGTTAAACAAGATTCTGTGGAGGTAAATAAATATCAGCAGGTTCAAAGAAGAATCAGTCACATTCATTGATAGCAGGTCCTTAAACACTTGCTAAAAGGAATAACTCCTGTAGGTACTGCAGGAGTACCACTGAATGGCTTGTGGGGTGTTAAATCTAAACAGCCTGGTCTGTTGCCACTGTCACATACAGAACGCTGGGCTCAGTGTCCCATGGGCTTGACCCACTGTGGCCGTTCCCATTGTGCCTGTTGATCTCAATTGCTGTCTGGCTCCAGCTGCAGATACAAACATGGTCTCTCTCACACAGCGGCCAGGCTGTGACGATTAGGCGTTCCTTGCCCTGCTTTTGTCAAGCTTATTTAATTCAAAGAATCCTATTAAATGTTCAGGCAAACCTGGATCATTCTGGAATGAGGTTGGGGAGCAAATCTATGAGCAGTTACAGGGGAAAATGAGAGAGGGTGATAGAAATGATCGGGAGTAAGGATGCTGTAAACTGGCTCAACTTTTCCAAATGGTTTCTGTATAAATGAATAAATAAATACTGTTTCAAGATTGCCTGAGCACTGAACAACCTCAGGCAAATCTGTTCTTAAAGTAGCTAGAATTTTAAGGTTTTTTTTTGTTTTTTTTTTGTTAATAGACTACTAAAGGAGCATCTTCTTTCCGGATTACTCGTGGCATTGAAGCTGTTGGGGGCAGCCTAAGGTTTGTAACCACATGTAAAAACAATCTGACTTAGTGAAACATAAAATATGACTAAAGGAAAGTTAAAACAATAAGCACAACAATACATAGGCAGATATGCTCAGTGTGGTAATGGTATTTGAATGGTGAAAATTGACAAGGGACATCTTTTGTACTTCTCATTAAGGTTCAAGAGTGTACCCATGATTTGTATTTTAAAACCGTCTTTCAGTTAACAAAATATAACTTGTGTACCTGGAAGGAATGTAATTTGTCCAGAAAGCTTATTGTTCTTTCTACCTTTTCAAGCTTTGAGGTTAAACTTCCTGAAATCAATAGGTTGGGGTTTTTTTCTCTATCTTTTGTGAATAGATAGCACTCATCATACTGCAATTTTGGGAACAATTCAGACAGTAGTTGGCTTTCATGTTTTGAGAGTTTAAAGCCTAGAAAACAAGTCTAAGAGAAATAAAAGAGGGATCTCGCTGTGTCTGCTTTCTTGCAATGTGTCTTGAAATCATCCAAATTCTATGTAAAACAATCTTACTGGTTAAAAGCAGTGTTTTATATAACTTGAGACTCTACCTCTTCTGTTCCTGTTAATCACAAATGTGTTGAAGCAAGTGGAAAAGATCAACTATGTTTTCTGCCCAAATAGAATAATTTCTAAATTACACATTTTTCTTTAGGTTTTGCTATTCAGCCTTATTGGTTGTTTTACCTTGATTTATTGTGGTATCTTAAATTCTGATGGTCACAAGACATCTGTTATTACTTGAATACTTAAAGTATGAGTTTTAGTTAAGTCCATTTCTTCTGCGTGTGTATTATCACTCCTTTAAATGGTCATCTCAAGCAGATTTAAGGTTAACTAGATAATTCTAGTCCATATCTTGATGACAAATTAAAGCAGTAGGGAATATGTGTGAAAATTCACTTCTGTGTTCTCTGCTGAAATGGATTTTGTGTTTTTTCTTATATAGCGTGTACTCAACAAGAGAGAAGATGACTTACTCTGTTGAATGCCTCCGTGACTACGTGTAGGTATCTAGATACGCTGTAAATGGAATTACTGCATTCTGTAGTAGAATTCTGTAGGAATCATTGCTCTGTAGTAGAGACCTACCATTTTACAGGGTAGGAGCAATACCTATTTTCATGTTTTTGTAATAAGATAATAAATTACTGTATTAATACTCAGTTTGCAAATCATGTTACTGAGCATATGAATGCTGCAGAACTGAAGCTGAGTTGTCATACTTTGTACAGCAGTGCTCCTAACTATTGTGTCTCAAGGGATGTATTTTGTTGTTAACATGTTGTTTACAGATTAGCTGGAACTGCTTTCAACTTCAAAAGAAATACACGCTGCTTCTGTTGTGTTTAATGCCTTTGTAACTTTTTTTTGTCTAGTGATACAGTGATGGAGTACCTTCTTAATGTCACCACAGCACCAGAGTTCAGACCATGGGAAGTAACTGATCTTCAGCCACAATTAAAAGTTGACAAAGCTATTGCATTTCAGAATCCTCAAGTTGGTAAGTATATTTTCTGATCCACTGCATTGACTTTGTGGGAGTTTCTTCAAAATGAAAAACTGGAAAAAATAGTTTCTCTTCGTGTCACATGACAGTTTTAATTTTTCAGCTTTTCCCCATTGATAGGTATGGTCTTTCTGTTGTTACAGAACTTATTTTTATATATAGACAAGTTTCTCCAGCCTGTGCATAGCATTCAGCAAGTAACATGCTGAAGATGGCTTACACCGTTGTCCTTGACAGCATCCATTTTACCTTTTTGATCTTTTTTTTTTAATTACAGCCAAAGAATGTGCAAGTCATGACTGTTGTGACAGTATATTTACAGCAGCTTATATTCTAAAAACAATATATAGATATTCATCAGTGTTGAAACCATATTCTACAAAAGACTTCTTGAATTTGTATGGTTATTTTGGTATAAAAATAATATGTACTTTCATTATGCTGAAAGTGGATTCCCGCTTTAGGG